AATAATATACACCGCTACCTCGATATAACGTGACCGGATATAACACAGTAAAGCAGTGCTCCGGTGGGGGGGATGCGAGGGGGGGCGGGGCTGCGCACTCCGGTGGATCAAAGGAAGTTCAATATAACACGGTTTCACCTATAACGCGGTAAGATTTTTTGGCTCCCGAGGACAGCGTTATATCGAGGTAGAGGTATATTTATAAGAGCCCTTATTTCCCCTTTCACCTCTTTGGCTAACATTCTGCCTTGTTTTACTGCCCGTCTATTCTGCAACCTTTAGCTGACAGAGCAACAGCAAGCTGTGCTCCTAAGCAATACTACCATAAACTGTGTTTTCCCATTGGAGGAGAAATGAATGCTATGAGGGAACAGATTTCAATTTCAACCTGCTGAGGGGTAATTTATGAACAGGGAGATCAAAAGCGGAGTTTGAGGGGGAAAGTTGCTTAACACCATGTTGCGCCTCCCTCCACTTCAGTTTACAGACCAAATTAGGTCTTGCAAGCAGCAAGAGGGAAATCCCCTATTGTGCAGGGCAAGTGCAGTCTATTACTGCACGCTCTCGATTACTACCTCTTCCTCCATTAACACCCTCCAATCATTACCTTAAAGTGACTGAGAATAGAAATCTCTGCAAGCTGAGCAGGAGGGTCAGGGACATGTCCTCCAATAGCACATGCATGACCTTAAGGAGCTGCATGTGACCCCTGAATTTGCCAAGCCAATAAAGCTGTGAGGAAAGAAGTAGGCCAGGGAGGTGGGAAAGGAAGACAAAAGTTGCATGCAAAGTGTGGGACAGTTAATGTGTCTCTATTACCCTGCATGAGCTTCCATTTTCCCCCAGACTGAACCTTATTGTTATTTCCTATCTATATATTTCTAAACCCTCAAGAAACCTGCTACAGACAAGGTCTATCAGAGATGTCACATTAATAAAGATTGGAAAGGACTGTCCCACATCAGCCACTCCAAATTCCTCTCCCAAAGCAACAATTTATGTTTTCCATAAGTTAGTCTCCCATACAGGCTATCGCATGCCATGATCCCCCCCCCCTCCCCCCGCAAATAAACTCATCCTCTGAGCTTGAGCTCTTCATCCATGGGAAAGTTTCACTCGAATATCCAGGGAATACAGCTAAACCTCCAACCCAAAATACTGCAGCTGAAGCCCACACTTTCAGTCCTGCCATCCAGGATGCAAGAGCTTGTTAGTGATATCATAAAACACAGGTGTGATATTCCTTAGCGATCTGACAGAAAAGCCAAGCATTAGAAGTCTGACTTAAGGCACCAATGGCTAGATTTACAAAACAATCAGGTGCCTGAAGATGCAGATTGGGCACTTCTAAAAATCCCACTAAGTGCCTAACAGTTTAGGCACATAACTCAAATCAAAGAGTAATTCCTTTGTAAATCTGGCTCCAAATCAGTATTAAGGTAACTAAATAAATAAGCAAACGGAATTTCAAATCAGGGCACTTATTTAGATGCTGTAATATGGATTTAGAAACCTAACTTTAAACACCACATTTGAAAATCTTGGTCAGAAACATTATATATGAAACCATTCATTACAAGTGCGTGCTAGCCTTTTAAAACCAGTCGTGGTTTGGTTCCGTATTTAATCTCCATGCCTTCCAGTTCTAATCGGTTGAGTTTGCAAGTCAAAAAGAATATTGTTCTAACTGCCAGCTCTGCAAACTGCCCCGGGGACCCAAGAGTCAAGTTTCTCCCCCATGCTTCAGAAGTCCTCATCGGCAAGAGATTCTGCAGTCAAAAGAACTGACAACATGTTTAATTTGTGAGACAGAGCAGAACCCTGCTTCTCCTCCTGTAGTGGCATCAGTCCTGCAGGATAAACAGGAGTCAAAACCTTGGCTTTGGCAGTCAGAAAGACAGGACTTCAATACAAAGGACTGAAGGGCCACTTTTAGCAGATTTTTCTAACTGAAATCACATTGCAAAGTTTCCTCAAAAAGTTTGGACAAGTTCATATGGTACTAAACCAAAAGAGAGTTATTTCTTGCTGTCTAGTCGGGGTGTTATTTTTAGGGCTGGATCAGAAGTCAAAGAAACCAGCAACTAAGGCAAGTCCCCAGCACAACCTCATCTCACCAGACCTCCTCCCCAGAGGGAGACGCCAGCAGCTCCTGCCCTACTCAGTGCTCCCCACAGCGAGGCATCAACCTACCAGTGGTGATTTTTTGTTCCACACTTCACCCTCTTCTCCAGCGTGTCAAGCTAGCTATAAGAACAAGTCAGAGGTTTTCAGTAACAGTCAAGTAGATTTCAAGAGTTGGTGGGGAAAAGAATTAAGGCAAGTCAAGACACCAGGGAAGGAATGTTGTTAGTTGTGGTGGTGTTTAAGAAATTATAGGAATGCTTATCTCTTGAAGTGTCAATGATTTGTGTCCCCCACCCCCAATATTTTTTAAAAATAGAAAACCATTAACGAGAAATCTAATCAATTTAGACAGTAAGTTAGAAGTAAGGTAGATTCAGAATCTGCACACGTTTCTGAGATGCCCTGCCAGCTTTTTGTGACTTTACAATCACATTTTGCTATATATAGTATTACACATTTAAATTTTTTAACAAAATGTTTCCCTTCCATGTTGCTGTGTCCCACACAGACAGAAGAGGAAACCAACAGACCATTCAGGGAAACTGATTAGAGTTGTCAAATACTCAATGTAAATAAAGAAGCAAAAATGAAAATGTTTCTTTTCAGATTTCAAGTGTTACAAGTAATAGTAGGTTAAAAAATTCAAGCAGAAGTGTTATTTTTAAGTCAATGGTGTCACCCTAAGCTTTCCTCTGCATTATTGGACTCCCAAATGCAAGAAGATCTAAAGCATAAGTGTCAGAGATAAAAACTGACTATAGAGTGAAACTGACTAGTTCAGTTTCACTGAGTGAAGAGTAAAAAGAAACACACCCATTAGTGGGGAAAGCAAACAGATTTTTATCATTTTCAGTTTTTAATTAAGGCAAGAGTAATAATGCAGGTAAGGTGTGTGTGGGGGGGGGGGAGGGGGCACGAGGAGGGGGGGGATGTTCCAGTCACCATCACTGCTTCCTAAAAATTTTCAAAGAGCTCCCCAATTTGTACTAGGGCATCCAGAAAACCCCAGGAAGATTCTCCCCACAATTTTTAAACTATTTCTGTGGTCCTCCCATATGCTGTATCCTTCCAAAGCAGATAACGGGGGCATCCTATTGCAGTGGTTCTCAACTTTCCAGAATACTGTACACCTTGAAGGAGTCTGATTTGTCTTGTGTACCCCCAAGTTTCACCTCACTTAAAAACGACTTGCTTACAAAATCAGACGTAAAAATACAACACTGTCACAGCCACTATTGCTGAAAAATTGCTTACATTCTCATTTTTACCATACAATTATAAAAATAAATCAATTGGAATATAAATATTGTACTTACTTTTCAGTGTATAGTAGATAGACAATGACTTGTTTATACTGCTCTGTATGAAATTTTAGTTTGTACTGACTTTGCTAGTGCTTTTTATGTAGTCTGTTGTAAAACTAAGCAAATATCTAGAGGAGTCGATATACCCCCTGGAAGACCTTGGAGTACCCCCAGGAATATGCATACCCTGGTTGAGAACCACTGTCCTATTGCACAGAACTTTGAGTGCTGCCACTTAGCACTTCACTTATGTTTCAAAAGAGCTTTGAAGATGTGAAGCCTCTCAACACTCCTGTGAGGCAGGAAAGCAAAGTATTAACCCCATTTTACAGATGGGGAAAGCAGACACAAAAATGTAAAGTCACTTGCCTAAATCGCATGAGTCAATGCCTGAGATAGGAGTATTAGATGCATTACTAAATCACCCATCAGATTAGACCAGACTTGAGAAATTCCTGACTCCCCATGCAAATTTGTTTTAAATACACTGGATGATATTCTGGCACCTCCATTCATTTATGATCCAGGATTGGGATTGTTAGGGGAGCAATAATGCAATAAATTTGTCTGCAGGGTGTCAGTCAGAGAGCAGAATATGCAGGTGCACCGCCAGCGTTTCTGCCGCCCTAGGCGGCGGAAGGTCCCGCCCCGAAATGCCGCCCCCCACAGAGGCAACGGAAGGTCCTGCCGCCGAAATACCGCTGCGGTTGCCGCCCCACAAATTGTAGCGCCCTAGGCGACCGCCTAGGTCACCTAATGGGTTGCGCCGGCCCTGAGAATATGGCAGATACTAACTCTTACAGGAAAAATCTGTTAACTTCTGCTACAAAGGTCACCACCACCAGATTTTAAAAGGAGAAAACTGGGGACTCTGCCCTTTTTTTCTTTTCAAGTCTTCCCTGTGAGACAAAACATGACTATGCATGAAGAAACAGATATGGAAATGACACTGTCATTGGGGATGAAGTGGAGTCTTTAACTATGCCATGAAGAGGTAGAGTTACTCCATGAATTCCAGAACAAGCAGCGAGCCTCAAAGGACCACCAATATAGCACCTGGGGGCATCTAGCATACTGACATGTGAAGAGGAGGGGAGGCAGCATCAGGACCTTTGTCATATTAAAAAAAAAAAAAAAACTACAAAACCTTTTCACAGCCACTAAGTATGCTGCTATATTATCACATACAGACCAAAGGGGGAGGGGGAGGGGGGACAACGAGACGAATGAAGTACCACTGTGGTGGGGAGAGAGAGCAGCTAGATGTGGGGGACAAACATCTGGGAGTGGATGGGGGGGGAAGGAAAGAAGAAGACTGACAAGAAGAGAACATCCCCACAAACACGTGCTCACACACCCCAGCTTTTACTATCCCATTGGTGATAATCCCTCCCTACCCCAAGCAGCATCTCATGCACTTACTTCTAGTCCCCCCTTTTATTTAGTTGTATCAGATCCCCAGACTAAGGAAGGCCCAAGTCATTTGAGAGTTAAGTACCTCCAAGAGTCGACAGGCAGCAGGATTTTGGATACATCTAACTGGGCCTAAGTTATTTAAATAAGAGTTACCTTCAGGAGGAAAGTTTTAGGCTTGGGTCCTCTCTTCTTGGGCCCATACAGCTCACGCTCTCGTTCCCTTTAGGGAGTCAAATTTTAGAAAGTTAAACTTTTTCTTAAGAAAAAAACACACACACACACACACACACATATCTATTTTTTTGGGGTAGCTCAGATGTCAAATAAACAAATGTGCTTTCCCCTATTAAACTCACTTCTGCTCAAAGGCTGCAATAAGTCGGGAGTCCAGGATGTTCTCTTCAGGTTCCCAAGTGCTGTACCTGCCAAGGCACAACAAAATAAACAAAACACGAACACCCGCATAAAAAAGGAGAAGGGGGGGGGGAGAGGAGGCAACCCCAGAGTACAGTTTGCGTGCATGGAAAAGGGATGCACATCTCAGAGCAGACTTGGGGAAGAACCCTTTACACACGCATATACACACGCGCGCGCACACACACACACACACACACACACACACGGAGAAATACTCAAACAACTCACTTGATGGCCCAGCCTTTCCATTTCACCAGGTACTCGATGCGCCCCTGCAAAACACAGATGAGGAGGGGGGGGAGGAAAGAGAGAGGGAGAGAGGATTAGCGAAATGGCCATTGCAACAAACCCACAGCAGCGGGGGGCCGGGGCCGGGGCCAGGCTGGGCGGCTGCTCACCTTTCGGATCCGCCGCTTGATGATGGATTCGGCCGCGAACACTCGCTCCCCCACTGCAGACAGCTCCATCTTGCTCAGCAGCAGCACCCACAGCCCATAATAATCCCGCCCGCTTCTCCCTCCTTCCCTCCCCCCTTCTCAGGCTGCCGCCGCCGCCGCCGCCGCTGCCGCTGCTACTGCTACTCGGGCTGCACCGGCTCGCGCACGCTCGCGCTCGCGCTCGCTCTCCGGCCGCGCGGCAGCACGTGACCTCCCTCCTCTCTTTCTCCCCCTCCCCCGTTCACCGTTACCAGGGTCTCCCCGGCGGCGGTTGCTAGGACAAAAAAGGAGGGCGCAGGCGCGCGGGCTCTTAAAGGCACCGCGCGCGGGCTGCAGGGAGCGAGGCGGGAGCTGGGTCGCTGCTTAGGCGGCAAAGCGCAGGGCCGGGGAAGAGGCCTGGGGGTGCAAAGAGCAGGGTAAAGCACAAGGGGGTGGAGTGTAAACGCGCTGAGAGGGGGGATAGTTTTAGATATACAGCCCCCCTCCCTCCGCTCCTGGCTGTTGTGAACCGGTTGCCAATGAGGCTGCCTTCCCACCAAGAGATCCCGGAACCCAGGGTCAAGGGGGCAGGTGTGTGGACAGTCTCTGCTAGGGTGACCAGATAGCAAGGGTGAAAAATCGGGACACTGGGTGGGGGGTAATAGGCACCTATATGAGAAAAAGCCCCAAATATCAGGACTGTCCCTATAATATCGGGACATCTGGTCACCCTAGTCTCTGCCCATCCCATCAGTGCAGTTAGAGGGACCTGCCGACAGCACGTTGGTCAGGAAAGGTCTGTACACAGCTCACCATAACAAGACTAGGCCAAGTTATAAGTAAGGCATCAAAGAACCAAAACATGGTTGGGAAAGGATGGAAACCCTCATGCTTCAGGACATAAACTGCCCACTGAAGAATGGGGGCCAGGAAGAAAGTTTCTCTGAGATCAGGTTATCCTATAACACCCACTGCAGGGTTTCTTCCCCTTTCTCCTGAAGCAGCAGCTAGTGCTGGCCAGTGCCAGGGACAGAATGCTGCACTACATGGACCACTAGTCTGACCCACCCTGGCAGTCCCTTGCCCATTGTCCTTTTCTCATAGTTAAAGCCCATTTTCCTACTGCACAGAGACCTAACCCTGTTCCCTTGAACTAGCCAAGGTTCTACTTTGATTCTTGAAGCACAATTAGGTCCCATCTGCTCTGTTACACTCACTATTCTGTTTGAAATCAATAGGGTGCTCAGAATTAGAGCTTATCTACACACAGTTGTACTGCTATAACTATACCACTATTGGTAAAGCAGTAACAGCCACTAATGTGGATGTAGTTATAGCTGCCTAAGGGTGCTATACTCCTACAGCTTATTCCCATATGGGAAGGGGAATAAGCTTTGCCATATATGTATCTTTATGTGAGTATAATTGCATTCATGCTAAGAGTTGTACCATATAACTTAATTATTTCAGTTAAGTGTGTGAATCTGTATTATATTGGTACAAAAACTGTAGACCAGGACAGTGGGTGGGTGTGTTTCACCTCAATGTACAAAGAAGCAGAGATAGTCCTAGGCTCAAACAATGCAAATGATCTCTTGAGGTCCTGCATTTTTAGAGGGTCCTCCCCCCCAGCAGCTTCCACTGATTAAGCAGTTTTAAGGCCACTTCAGGCTTTTTCCCCAGAAACAGCTAGAGAGGGGGAAGAAAAATCACAGTCTCTATCCCAGCAATTTGGAATCCAGTCAATCCTAAAGTAGTGTGTGCACAGAACATTTGGCAGCAAAGACTATGGATTTACTTTTAGGTGCCCAGTAGGTGCATTCTGTGTTGTACAGAACAACAGCAATATAGGACTGAAAGGGATCTTGAGAGGTCAGCTTAAAACTCACTTTCCATTTTTAAAATTAATAAAAAAAACCTAACCTGCTTGAGATGGTCCAATAAGGGAGGTGTCAGAAAATGCCCTTACTGCCCTCACTAAACACGATCCCTCTTCCCTGTTCATCATACACATATGATTTCCATCTCTCCTAAGCCAATAGCACTACTGCACATTCATCCCATAGGCCAAGAGGTCAGCAGAAATAGAAAGAATCGAACTGCAGGATTAAGGGGGAAATGACAACACAGAAAGAAGCCATTAGTTAAATGTCAGTTCTCATATTTAATATTTTTAATAACTTTGCAACATTTACCACATAAATCATCTAAATAAATAGATGCTGTACAGTCTCTTATCCATATCAGTACAAAAATAAAACCACACTTTGCATCAAATTGTAACTAGACCTGTCCTCCCATTTGTATTACAATCTCCATTTACAACAAGCACTCACTCAGAAAAGGCATTATACTTAGGGGTCTTTTGTTTGTTTGGAATTGATTCGTTCCCTCAGCCCCCTCTGCCCAAATACATTCAGTTAGTCTGTACAAAAGCTAGAAGCTCATTCTGTGCAAAGGAAGCTTTCTTGTGCAAAGACTCAAATGCTCTATCATGCCAAGAATAAAAAATAAAGTAACCTTCCCCAACACCATCCTTGGTGGAAAACAAGCATATAAAATAGGCAGTAAAGTCACACAACAGTCTTAGAAGAACCTAGATCAAGCAGTGCAGGAGCATGGGAAAGAAGGTCGCTGCTGAAAAGCTGGGAGGATTGGGGTTTCTCCAAACACAGGTGCCTGCTACTAAGTAAAATGCCCTACATAGCCAGCTAAAATGTTCAATTTAGATTTTTTTTAAGCCTAAACTTTGTGATTTTTTTTTTAAAGCAAGTTCCTTTGCACCTGTTCTGTTGGACGTGAGGTGAGACAATAACCCACTGGAAGAGTCCAGCCACTGAAAACAGCTGTTGGGTTATCCCTACCCCAAAGAGGTACACATGCCTCCCATCCCCAATAAGCCACTAAAGTGCAATTTGTCCAGAAAAGGGAACTAAAAAGATGTCTCCAAAACTAGAGATTGAAGAAACCTATTGGATCACATCTCAGCCATCTCTAAACACTGGGACTACTGAACATGGGAACAGTACCTAATAATTCCCCTATATACAGCAAGTGGTGGGGGAAAAACGTGTTCTGAGGTGGATGTGAAGTTTTAAAGTCTCCTCCCCTCCTTCATTGTACCCTTCTTCACTTGGGATGCCTGGAATGGCAAACCCACCCTACAACCATAGAAGGGATGCCAAGGGCTGGCTGGCAGCTGTGGAAAGGAGATAAGGAATAGCCAGTGATCTGAAATGGATACATCTTTCCCTTTTCAAATGCCACTTTTTAAAAAAGAGGCAATAAGAGTACTCAGCGCTCCTAGTGCTTTGCATCTTCAAAGTGCTTCAAACATACTTAGGCCTTGACTTAAGAAAAGCCAAAAAGCAGACTAACATTTTTAGATTTCAGAGAGTTTTTGGTGCTACCTCTACATTTCTGGTTAACACCCGTCCAACCCCCTCCAAAACCTTAATCCCGGTCAACCCTCTGGCACTAAAATGAGAAAGAACAGATAGATTTTAAAAGGTCAGGTTTCTGACCATCACTCAGTGCCCCCCCCACACACACACACACAAATGTGTCAATCTGGCACTTCCAGCACCCACACAGTTGTGAGAGGGGAGCATGCCTCTTCTCTAAAAAGACAGGCAGGGTAACAAGTGGCCCACAATTAATGAAAGCAGCAAATCCTCTCTGAGCCTGAGCTTTCTATCCATCCCATTTGGCAAGTACAGTAATTCAGTCTCCCATTCAAATGCCAGCCACTACCAGCTTCCATTATTGGGCTTAGTCACTCTGTGCTACTTCTGATCATCCAGAAGCCATTTCCCATTCAGAAATCTGTGAAGTGGCCAAATCCCCAGGAAACATTCCTTATCTTAAGGAAGAGTCTGAAATAGATGTTAGAGGAAGATATGAGATTCTGAACGAATGCTATATCTGCCCTTCCCCACCAGTGACTGTTCTGATGAGGTTGGCAACCTACCCCCTGCTTTACAAATGCTCGTCTCTTGGGCAAGTCCCACAACCACTTCCACCTACCTAATAGCTTAGGTTTCAGCTGAGTGGTTAAATAATTTGGGACAGCCATTCTCCTTTTGTGTGAAGGCTACAGCCCTGGCTTATGGGCATTTGAGCTCGGCAGGGCAGAGGACAATATGGACCCTCTGACATGAGAGAGAACTGATTTTAGACCACTGTGCTCTGGCAGATATTGGCTTGAGAACATGTACAATGCAACAATCTGTCCCTATTACCTGCATTTGCCAATGGTACATTTGCCTTTCTAATAACTGCTCTGATCTGAACTGTCATTCTCCTGCTTGGCTCCCTCCCCCACAAAGATAAGTCTGTGTTTTCCCTCCCCCTGAAAGACCCAGCTACTTAACACAGAAGCAAACGACTCTCTCCACACATGCTCACTTACTCAGTACCCATTCAGAGCACACAGAGGAGTGCCAGTTAATCCTTCTAAAATGCTGATGCAGGGCAGTGATGTCCTAAGGGGGAGAAGGAAGTGAAGAGATAGGAAAATTTGTCTATCTGAATACACTGGGCTACACTGAACAGACATACTTCATTTCCTAGTTACTCCATGCACACCCCTGCTCCATACACATCCCCATCTAATAGTCTCATCTTTTCACTCAGATGAAAAAAAAGTGAACAAATCCGGGGCAAAACCAATAGCTGTGACAGGCTGCTGTGGAGTGCACAGAAGGAATTGGCCAGCTGAACGAAGCCATTAACTACTGTCAGAATTGGGACTTACAAAGGATGGGAGCAGAAGTCTCCAACAACAAGAAAGGTTTTGGATTTCTCACTTTGGCATCTGATTTTATTAACAGGAAGTATCAGCATGATGCAGACCCTGGGAGGGCCTTAGGAGTTAATGAACGCTCCCTGCATCTCAATGCACTCTTTTCCTGAAGTAACAGGCACTCTACCCAACAGTCTGTCCTGAACAGTCTAGCAAGGGCATTATTGACAGTGGGGATACGGTACACAGATCCCGCACAACTCTGGAGTCCAAGGAATGCCAGACCCTACAAGTTAGGGACCCCATTCATTGAGCAGCCCCCACACTGTCCCAGGAAGCTACACTGCCCTCCTTCCTAGGCTGCAGGAAGAGTACATTGAATAGGAACAGAAGAGAAGGAAAAATATCACAATTTTTAGAAAGGAGGTTT